GACATTGCCACTATATTGGGAGAATGAGAGAAGTTAAAAAGGGGCACATAAATCATGAAAGTCCAAGTTTGACATAAAAGGAAACTGGCACAGTTAGAATACTCAATCTCCATTGTCACCCTTCACTCTTCTTAAAATTGTTCTTTTCAATAAGTTTGTATGCATTATAATAAGAGGTGCCTAGAGGGAAGTTACCTCAGAGCATGGTTCAAGATCATGAGAACTGTGATCAACGAATATCCATGAAAGAATCCCCTGCAGAAAAATCATAACATAACTTCCTTAGAACATGCATATAATTTTCATCTTTCAGAAAGTCTTGCTAGCTTGAGGATAATGCCATTCGGTCAACCTATGCTAAGAGTTGCATAAATTCTGTCCATGGAAAGATATTAATAAAAGAAAATATCAGCAGCAAGTTGTTTCAATTTACTTGTTCATAACAGCATCAAAATCTTGAACGACAATTGCAATAGCATTAAAAGCCATCCCACATACATACAACCAGAAGTTCTGAACATTAATGTTCCTTGAAGGTCTTTTCTTAATAATAGCCTACAGAACACAAAAGAAGATATAAGGTCATATGAGCTTTAACTTCAATTTTTCCTCAAAGAATTCTCAAATGAACTTAATATGGATGTCAACACGATAGAAAAGGGATTCTTTTGATACTGGTACTTATAAGTGAATACCAAATAGAGTTGCAGCAGGATATTACAAGCTGCAGAGATCCAAAAGCTGCAAACTGCATAACTGACCGGGAAAGACTATTCTGAAGGTCAAAAGATGTGCTATGAATTTACCTCAGTGTACACTCCGGCAAAACCACTGAGAAGAGCCATGATCTGAAATGATATACCAAGAACCAATAAAAATGTTTAAAGACTTTGGATTTAATCAAGAAAGCTGAGATAAAAAAATCTCTCTTCTTAAAAGGGAACGCGACAGAAAAGTAGATAAACTCGTGAGAGACATTCTAGACTTATAAATTAAATTTAGTTCTTCTTTCATAATTGATAATCAACAACATTATTTGACTTAATCAAATGAGCAGTTGTTGTTTGTCCAATGAAAACTATATGATCATTTGATCCCATGATCTGCTTTCCATCAACTTTTTCCTGCTAAACAATAGATCAAATGAAGTTTTAACTAAGGAAATCTTAAGGACGAAAGCAGCTAAAAGGAAATAATTATATTTTTCTATACGGGTAATCATTGCTTGTTAGATGTGCTAACATATTTCAGCTTAACAACTTACAATTGCCATCACCCAACCTTGGAAAGGTGTTTGCAAAACTTGATCCGAACTGCAAAGATAATCAGATCCCATAAACACATAGCATATACAAGATCAGGGTCCCTAGAAACAGAAGAGAAAGAAACGTGGACAAAGAAAAAACTTCAGGTCAAAGACCCATTTGCATGCTCTATCTTCTAAATCCGCTAAAACATAGTAGGATATCAAGAAACTTTCTACATTGCAGCAACTATGAGTATTTTTAAATCCAACTTTTGGATCAATGATGATCATACTGTAGTGGGCAAACACAATGGAAGCGTGTAACTTATATAAACCTCGCATGCATGAATGATTTATGTCAAGGCATTTAATTAAACACCATGAAATCTGAGTACCTTAAATATTGATTGGCCAAAAGGAAAGCAAGTAAAGTTTACATTCTCTAATTGTCGTATTACTAAGTTCAAAAAATTAAGAAGCTGCTATGTGCAATATGAACAATAGGTTAAACATCGAACCATTCTTGAATTACAAGAACACATTGCTACAAACATAACATCCTTACTTAGAATTAAGTTGTGCTGTGGTGCATCCTGCACATAATAAAATGAAAGCAGCCCATTGAATTTCACTCAACCTGAAAAAATAGAGAAAAATAAATGTTGCAGATCAGTTATGTGTGCTAAGAAAAAACTACAATCCATTGCCCACCACTTCCATAAACACAATAGAACAATGACAACAGGTTGTCTATAACATGATGGCGGTTTGAAATTCATCAGGCTACTGCACCCTTCAATCTCCGAGGAGGTGCATCAAACAGACAATTTTTACATCTGAAATTTTAGACTCAAAGACAGCAAGTTGCGAGAACTTACTTTCTTTTGAGAATGATACGGTATAATACACCCGTGCTGATAATGTTGAAATTCTTCAGTATTTGGTAACCTGGAGCGTCTACATATGCAAAGATGTAATACTGCCACAAGCCAAAATTTAGCAAACACCGTAGTGCAAAAGAATCAGAAATTGCTACAAATATTTAACACAAGGAAAACTTACTTGAAGTAAATTCTTGATGAGGTAAAGAGCAGCAGGAATTGGATATACACCAACTTCATCCCATGATGTGTTCAACCTATAATGAGGGAAGAAAGCAGTTTTTCAAATTCAGTTAATGAAGAAATGCATTTCACCTCAACAGGTGAAAACAATTCAAATTAACAAGATTTTCAGAAGTTTTAAGTTTCGAAATAATTCTACATATTCCTTGCACGGGCAAACATTTCAGATAAGTGCAAGTTTCAACCTATTCATGAATAGTCAATTAATTAAGTAAAGGCACAAAACATTTTTGCAACAAGCCACATGATACTTAAAGTTGGTAAAGCGCCATCAAGTTTTGTGCATTTCAAGTCTATCAACTGCGTCTGCTCATTTAATTATTAGAAGTTGGTCTCTACAATATTTTTTCTCGGTGATAGGCAAGAAATGCACCGAAATTCTTTAATATGTTGTCTGTCAATAAACAGAAAATGCACACAAAAGAAGAAACCTGTTATCCTCAGTAACACCTTCATTCCTCCAGATTCTTGTCAGGGCAGCAAGTGACAATGTACACTTTAAAGCCTCTACCTAAACAGCAGTAATCAGTTGAAGACCAAGTTCATAACATTCTTACAGAGACACGTGCCCTTTCCAGAACCTAATAGAAGCCGAAAAGAGCGCAGTACAATAGTTACGTAATGACTAGCCTAATGGGAAGTATCATTCACTCACCAAAAAATTTGCAGTTGTAACACTGTATTCATACTTGCCTGCCCTCTTTGACCAGACAATAAGAATTGCTTGCGAACTTGTAAGGAGTGTCAGTGCAAGTGTTACAACGGATCTGCTTTATCACAGGTTAAGAGCATTAAAGAAGGATGAAAAAATTTTGTGTCGCTAAACAGTTGTTATACTTGAAAGACATTAATACTTGCGCTTCCACTTAGTATGATCAACGGAGTTTCCTCCTAAAGCAACCATATCATGTGTGTAGCCTGTAATTGAACAGAAAATGAAAGGAAGGAAGGAATGGGGCATGTGTAGAAATGAAATGTGAGAGATGCAAGTGCAAAAAACAAGCAGACCTGAATTATGTTTGCCATGTAGGCTCTCAACATCATCATGAACTATATCCTCATCTTTATCCTATACGATTCAACGTTAATCAACACAAAGTGAGCGAGAATTAAATCATGAGAGCAAATCACGAATTGAGGACCACAGGGAAAGGCAGGAGAACGGTGAACGGAAATGGTGAGAGTGGAGGTAGTGTGGCTAAAGTAATTGCATAGCAAGCTTGAGCTACATTAACCCAAAATGACAAATAGAAGAAGGAAAAATGCATATGCATAAGTGCAGCAGCAGATCAAAGCAATGAGATGCATACAGAGCACAAAAGGTTCTTAATTGGAGTGCCGCAACCTGATCCTTAATTCTTCTGTACTCCATTGATTTGTTCAGATTCAGTACGACACCGACTCGATGAAGATCTAAGCCTTGAAGCAGCACAGAAAAATATTGCACCAACTCATTTACAGCTCAAGGTTCCGAAGCTGCTTTTCTCCTCGTCTGTTTGGGATGCGGAGGTCATCTGCATATCTTTTTATATTTTTTACATAAACAAAATAGAAAAATAAAATTTGATCTATCACATTAACTTTAACATTATATACTAATTATTATTTAAATCTATAAATTCATAATAACATTCAAACCAACGCCAATCAACTTTTTTTAAAACTAAGGGGGTGTATTAAATTGGAATTTATAGACTTTTAAAAACTTTTTAGGACTTTAGAAATCCCAGTGTATTTAATTTAGACTTCTCAAGACTTTTAAAAGTCTTGAGGTATTTAATTAGGATTTTCAAAAGTAACGAATTAAACTGCATTCGATTTGGTAACAAATGTCCATCAAACTTACCAATACTTTAGTTGTCTTTGTCATAGCTAATTAGTTCATGTTCCCAATTTCCAAATATTTTTATATATTATCAACCGAAAACAAAATGGAAGAAAACTTTCAAACAAGAACCACAAAACATATAACGCAATAAAAAAGCTAATACAAACTAGGGTTGGTATCGGTTTAGTTACCGAATCGATAAGGCCAAACCGAACCGTTTATTTCGGTAACTACATATATGAAACCATTACGGAACCGATTGTAATCAGTAACCGAAAATTCGGTTACCGATATAACTCGGTTCTGTAACAGTTTCTTACCGGAAAAACCGAAATTTACCAAATTAACTTCCTAAGAGCAAAATTGCTTGACATTCGAGAAAATGAAAATATGAGTTGCATACTCAATAGTCAATTCTATTAAATCGATGGCCAGTTTTATCAAGATGCGTCCCTGAAGGCTGAATCTACTACACAAAAACAACCGATAAACCGAGACACATTTCAACAAGAAATCACATTCCAGAGTTCAATACAATTAGTACAATTTCCACAATTCACATATTCTCTTCAATCCAATTAGGGCAATATCAAATATTTGGGAAAAAAACACCAATATCAAAAACTGTACACTCTTGAAAGGTGATGACGATTTAGTACCCGGAAAAGGGAAACGAATTTCATTATTTCAATACTTGAAAACTGAAAAAAATACTTGAATTCCACGAATTTCACTATTTCAGTACCTGAATTTGTGATGCTTCCACTGAGAGTTTTGCCTGCCAAAGAGAAGGTGTCGCTGCCGATTAGAGTGAGGAGCGAGCGCGAGAGATCTGATGTCTCACTGAGGAGCCCGATCTGTGAATGGGTGAGCGTGAGATGAGAGGGTCGATTTTTCTTTTTATCTGTGAATGGGTGAGACTGTGAGAATGAGATGAGAGGGCCGATATTTTTTATTGTTATTTTAATTTTTTGGGGTAATGGGTAAGACTTTGATAAAGTCAATCGCTATTTACGGCCTCTTTTACTAGTCACCGCTTTTAATTACGTTTTTGCCCTTTATACTTTCTCTCTATTTTTTTCTTTCGATTTTTTACTGTTCTTTTAATCGTCAAAAAATTTTCAAAAAATACCAAAAAAGTATCATGACATCAACATTACACTGATGATTGACCATATATTTTTTTTATATTTTTTTATGAGGAAATAACTATTTTCACCCGTTCTGAAGTCATACTAAGTTTTTCACACCACCCAATAAAAAGCTAAGTTTTTCACCCCAAAAAGTACGAAGACATATGCGGTGAACTATGCGCTAAATAGGCGACAGGTATGAGCATGGGCGAGAAAATTATGAGTTAAAGTATGCGACTGTTCTACGATGAATATTCGGAGATTCGATGT